GTGCTAAAACCGTCGTTTTTTTACGTTTCTCTGTGTCCGCGGACAACCCTCTGCGGGTAATCGCCGGGTCGCGGTGCTAAAACCGTCGTGTTTGGTACTTTTTTTCGTGGCCGCAGACAACCCTCTGCGGGTTTCGGCGTTGGCGCAGTGCCAAAACCGTCGTGTTTTTGCATTTTGTGACATACAAACGTAACCCCTCTGCGGGTTTCGGCGTTGGCGCGGTGCCAAAACCATCGTGTTTTTGCGTTTCTTGACATGCAAACGTAACCCCTCTGCGGGTTTTCGCGTGGTCGCGGTGCGAAAACCGTAGTGTTTTGCGTTTTTTTTGTCGACTTGTGTAGTACAGACGTAGTACGCCGGGGACTTCCGTGGCTGGAAAATCGACTTTTGTAGTACAAACGTAGTACGCCGCGGACACGCGGAGCTTCCGTGGCTGGAAAGTCGACTTTTGTAGTACAAACGTAGTACGCCGCGGACACGCGGAGCTTCCGTGGCTGGAAAGTCGACTTTTGTAGTACAGACGTATAGTACGCCGGGGACACCCGGAGCTTCCGTGGCTGGAAAGTCGACTTTTGTAGTACAAACGTAGTACGCCGCGGACACGCAGAGCTTCCATGGCTGGAAAGTCGACTTTTTCTAGTACAGACGTAGTACGGCGCGGACGCCCTGGGCGTCTGAAAACACCGCATCGCAAATACCATGGTCCCCGAATTCGCTGTTTCCAAAACCATCGCAAATACAATGGTCCCCGAATTCGCTGGTTCCAAACGCATGGCAAATACCATGGTCCCCGAATTCGCTGCTTCCAAAAGCATCGCAAATACCATGGTCCCCGAATTCGCTGTTTCCAAAAGCATCGCAAATACCATGGTCCCCGAATTCGCTGTTTCTAAAAGCATCGCAAATACCATGGTCCCCGAATTCGCTGTTTCCAAAACCATCGCAAATACCATGGTCCCCGAATTCGCTGGTTCCAAAAGCATCGCAAATACAATGGTCCCCGAATTCGCTGTTTTCAAAAGCATCGCAAATACCATGGTCCCCGAATTCGCTGTTTCCAAAACCATCGCAAATACCATGGTCCCCGAATTCGCTGTTTCCAAAACCATCGCAAGGAGCTTCCGTGGCTGGTTCCAAAACCATCGCAAATACCATGGTCCCCGAATTCGCTGGTTCCAAACGCATGGCAAATACCATGGTCCCCGAATTCGCTGCTTCCAAAAGCATCGCAAATACCATGGTCCCCGAATTCGCTGTTTCCAAAACCATCGCAAGGAGCTTCCGTGGCTGGTTCCAAAACCATCGCAAATACCATTGTCCCCGAATTCGCTGGTTCCAAAAGCATCGCAGATACCATGGTCCCCGAATTCGCTGTTTCCAAAAGCATCGCAAATACCATGGTCCCCGAATTCGCTGTTTCCAAAAGCATCGCAAATACCATGGTCCCCGAATTCGCTGTTTCCAAAACCATCGCAAATACCATGGTCCCCGAATTCGCTGGTTCCAAAAGCATCGCAAATACCATGGTCCCCGAATTCGCTGGTTCCAAAAGCATCGCAAATGCCATGGTCCCCGAATTCGCTGGCTCCAAAAGCATCGCAAATACCATTGTTCCCGAGTTCGCTGGTTCCAAACCATGGCAAATACCATGGTCCCCGAATTCGCTGGTTCCAAAACCATCGCAAATACCATGGTTAATGATTTCGCAAAATCACATGGTGCTCCAATGCCGGGCGTGCGAAAACATCGCAAATTTCATGGTTATTTAATTCCCGGCGTGCGAAACTCACTTCGGTCAGATTTCACTGTGCTTCTCTGCTCTTTGAAGCTCCAAGGTCTTCTTGCCAACCTCGCTCTTCTGTCCTTGTTTCTTTGAAAGGCGCTCTGGAGTGTGAGCTTGGACTTCAGAGCGACTGCCGATGATGCTCATGGCTGACGGCTCTCGCGTTAGATGTTTTTGTCTTTTCTTTCAGAGCATCGCGTTGACAGGACGTGCGCAGCCGAGTCGGGTGCATGCAAATGAAGTTCATACAGTTCAAGTCCGTTTACTTCAGATCTATTGAATGCCAATGAAGTGTATAGAGTTGACCACAAGTGCATGGCATTCAACTCAACACACTTGAGTGCCATGCAGTTCGAGTGCATACACGTCCAGTATACAAGTGCAGTATACAAGTGAGTATGCAACCATATAAGTGCATACACTTAAGTGCATACACTTGTCCAAGTGCATACAGTTCGAGCGCACAGAGTCAAGTGCATAGACTCAACGCACCGCAAATCGATGCTTTCGGGCCAATCGTCTTCTAGTTGGTTCAGTGTTCCCCTTTTCAAGTAAGCAACCCCCCCCCCCCCTCCTCCCCAAAAGGGGCACCCTTGTTATAATGTGGTTGCTGGGCTACCGAGGAAGCTCAAGGGTCCAGGGTTCATTGGCTTGCAAGAACAGGTAAGATCCTGACCAGAAAACTGAGAGGCCCTTACAGTCAGTATACCGAAGGGAACTTGAAGCCACAAGGCTTTGAAGCCAAACCCCCCAAAACCTAAACCCTAAACCCTAAACCCCAAAGCTATACAGCTTTATGCCCCTTCGAACCAATCCAAAATGCAGTCAACCCACCCAGGCCGCACGGGGTTTCGGAGGTCATTGCCACGCTCATGTTGCTGCTTAAAGCAGACACGTCGTTGTGAGCCGCTGCCCTAACCCTGGTGAACCCTAACCCTCATCCCTCAACCCTTTTAACCCTGTTAACCCTGTTCACCTTGTTCACCCTGTTCACCCTGTTAACCCTGTTGACCCTGTTTACCCTGTTAACCCTGTTAACCCTGTTAACCCTGTTCACCCTGTTAACTCTGTTAACCCTGTTAACCCTGTTAACCCTGGTAACCCTGTTAACCCTAAACCCTCCCGAAGCCTTAACGCCTAAACATCGCCTCGCTGATCGACTCTTTGGCTCCATCTGCCTGGCCACTGGGAAGCTCCGCCCCACTCAGCAACTCCGAAGCCCAGAGCCCTCTGCCTAGTTTGGCAGAAGCGTTTATGGGAGTTTGACTTCGGGGTGAATGTTTGGGACTTGGGGCTGTAGTGTGGGAACTTGACGGTTGAGCAAGAAGAGCTGGTGGGGTGTGGGGTGTCAGCTTTTGCGTCTTGCTTAGAAAGAATAGACAGCTTGACAACAGCTGGACAGTATACCTGGACAAGTTACAACTAACGGCGTTTAGGGCTTTCAGGGTTTAGGGTTTCGAGCTTAGGGTTTAGGGTTGTTCCTTCGGTTTAGGAAGTTGCGGAGGGGGCGCGGCGGGGGGGGGGGTTGTTAAACTAACAGTCCTGAATAGGGATTATAGTACCCGCCGATTAGAATCCCTAAGAACTGTTGGAATAACGGGGAACATCCCAACCTGGAAGGCTGACCGCGTAGGTAAGTCTGGAAGCCTACATCCCTCCGAAGTCCCATGATTAATCTCATGCAATAGCTAGGTTTTCGGGTTCAGGGTTTCGGGTTAGGGTTTAGGGTTTAGGGTTGGGATCTAGGGTTCAGGGTTCAGGGTACAGCGTTTAGGGTTTAGGGTTGCTTCTGCCAACAGCGCTCTGCACCCAAACCTTAGGCCACAAACTCAGTCTACCTGAAACTCCCAAGCCCCCCAGCCTTGCAACTCAGCTGTTGTTTTACCAATCATCATCGGAAACATTCCTACACCATACGCTTAAACCCTCAATCCTGAGCCCCACATCCTGAACCCTTCGATCTACATCTTCTGGCTGGTTCTTAGCAGGGAGTGAGGGAATCAGGGCCCTACATAATCCCTTAAAGGGTATATATAGGGCCCTAATTCCCTCATTCCCTACTAAGAACCAGGAAATCTTCGGGATCGTGTCGCTCACCTTCGGGTAAAGCAGCCGGCGGGGTGTACAACGCTGCAAACAGGGCCGACTTAGTATGTTCAGAGCTTCGGGCATGCACAGCCTGGACTCTGAGCCCCTAAACCATAAACACAAGTCATTTCGGGTGACTTGGAGGGAGGGCTGGTGATTGACTCCACCCAGAGGCCCCCCAAAAACTCCCGAAAAAGACCCCCGAGTGGGGCCCTAGACTTTCAGGGTTTAAGGTTGAAGGTTTTCGGGCTTCAGGCTGTGTTCGGGCGGAGGCTTCAACTTTTTGAGGGTGCAGGTCTTGGTGCTATTTGGTGCTGTTATCATATAGGTTTACGGTCGTGAGGGTGTGGAGGTGTGGGACGTCAGCTGAAGTGCGCAGACATTCAGAACCGACGCGCTGATTATGGCAGCACACCCCAATCCCCCAAAACTTTGAGAGTCGAGAGACTGGAAAGCCCTGGACTTTTTGCGGACTGTATGCGGGGTTTTCAACAGGACGGCCCTGCTATGGACCCTGATTAACGAATCGTTGCCAAGGACTGTAAGTAATCGGATCCTTAATGCGAAGCCCGTCGAAGAAGGATCACTAGTTTTTTGGAGACCCAAAGTTCCCCTTCCCAGGTTGGAGAAGTGCAGTTGCGGCATCTGCAGGCTCGGGACGCATGCGCTCGGTGCTGCTCTGGGATGTGATGTTTTATGCTCCACATTCATGAGTGCCACGCATGTCTGATCTTCAGCATTCGTGAAAATCTGCAGGTGGCTCTAGCCGTTTCTGGCCATGTATCACAGTTGTCCGCTCAGTTCATGTCCCTGTCTCCTCGCGTGCCACATTGCGGCATGGACGTTGGCGGCATCTTTTCGTGAAGCTGCCGATGCAGCCGGGATGGATGGCATGGCTAAGGACTGCCTCCACACAGCAAGTCCGAGCCTGGCAGGAAATACGTCCGACACAGCACCCCAGGGTTTAGATTTTAGGGTGTAGGGTAGGCCCGGAAGCAACCTTAAGAGTTTTCCTCGACTGAAACCTGCAACGCATTGGAGACGATTCCAGGGCTCCAGGCAGGGTTGTCGGGGTGCCTTGTTCCACACTTCTCCATACACGGAAAGCCTGAGACTGAGGAGTGACAGCATGGAGTTTCTCTTCGATTCCTTGGTCTTCCATGGCCCGCGCTTCACCTACCTCGAAGCGCAGGAGTTTTACATCGCAGCTGATGCATCTTGCGAGCAGCCGCTTAAGGTGCCTCGACGGAGAGTCCCTGTCGGAAACAAGACATTGTTAGAGCTGCAAATCATTGAAGCGACAACCAAACAACGACTACACCTGGAGACCTTCCGGTCCTCCGCTCTGGGGAAGCAGGACGCTCATTTTGATGCACGGGCGTGGTTTGACTCGCACGTACGCCCTCAGATACTTGTCCTTCCTGCGGTAGAGCTTTACATGTTTCCAGATGATGTGCAGAACGTCAGCTCGACGTGGAAAGTCTTGCTCCTTCCACGATCCCGAGCAGTTTTTGGGCGGACTGTCTACCTTTGCAGGAAACCGGAGGTGCTGTTGAACCCCTGCATAGCCAAGCTGCCCTTTTCCGGCCTGCCTTTTCGCTTCATACATCTGCTTGGTATCTGGGACCCAGACTTGGGGTCTTCCAGATCTACACCACACAGGCTATTGCTGCTATTGGAGGTTTTCGTTCTTGCCTTGGGCTTATGTGCCACCTGTCTGGTTCTCGTGTCGGCGAAGCTCATGATGCAGGCTGCCTGGAAACAGTATACTCCGCCAGCGGATGGTCTGCGGAAGGACGCACTTCTCGGGGACAGACTTCCGAAGGTGTACATTCTGATTCAGCATGCCTTTGTGTACAAAGATGCCCGGAAAGGTGAGCTACACAGGGCTGAGCCTCTGGATGCCTGTCGCGAGGTGACCGTGCTGGAAATGGTCGAGGCAGACAGGGAAAGACGAGGGTTGATCGAACAGCTCCAACACTTTCTGCTTCACAGGGGAGAATCTGCCTTGTGGGGCCGTTTGGAAGACCCTTCTGGCTGGATCGTTCTTGCCAATGGGGCTGAAGATGTGCGCGTCGTAACGGAAGGTGAGTTACCCTCCTCGCTCTTCTGTGCCAATCCGGAACTGCTGCAGCCGCTTCCATCTATGTTGCGGCGCCAGTGGGTGTTGGCAGCCAGCCATGCTACAGTGCAGCTTTATCTGCTCGAGAGTTTGTCCAAGATGTTCGAAATGTCCGTCATTTCGGTCATTTCTGCTAGCCTCTTGGCTATTCATCTGTTGGTTTTGTGCCAGATGGAGATGACGTACTCAGCAGCCCTGCACTATGAACAGGCGATGGAACGCCAGGGCAAGCTTGTGACCTTGACAGGCACCAGCAGCGTGCTCACCCTTCTCGTCTCAGCTGTGGTCATGCTGCTAGTCGCAGTCGCGGTTGGAATCCTAGGGAATGAAGCCATGGTTTCGGCTGCTATTCCATGCACGTCCTTGGCCACCTCGGTCGCCTGGCACCTCATGGACTTTCGGTCATCGCTTGCTGGCCTTGACAAGTGGAGATCACCTCAACTGAAGGCCACGGAATTCACGGGTACTGCCGGCAAGAGCTTCGAGACCATCAGTAGTAGCGACTCAAAATCCTTAACGCGAGGCCGAGAATTCCAGAAACAGATGATGCGCTTCCTTGTGGGCCTGCTTGCCGTTGGGGCCTTGGGTATTCTGGTTCTACTTTGCCTTGACGGGATGAAGATGCGGGGTGAGCTCGTGGACTATTCTTTCAGTTGTGGGCGCCTTTCGATTCCCCCGAACCCGTCGGCAGTTCAAAACACCCTCCTGCTACATACCAGTGTGGACTCTTGTTCTTTTCGATTTGAGGCAGGCCTGCACACCTCTAAGGTGCACCTGCGCTTGGAGCATGCCTATGGCTATACAGCTTTATCGCAAGGAGTAACTGTGTTTGATGAAGATCATGACAAGGTCAATACGGGAGAAGAGAAAAGAGCTGGCGAGATTTCGGTGAACTTGCCGGCGGGCCCACTATACAGCCGGATCATTGTCTCGGCTTCAAGCCATCTACACAAAACGCCCACCCGGTACATGATCCACTTGTTGCGTGTTGGCGAGGCAGTCAAGTTGTTGCTGGACGCGCCCGTCAATCCTGCCCACTTTTCAAAGGAGGAGTCAACCTTGCCCAGGCTCCTCAACTTTCACGAGACACGGCGATGGCTGTATCAACAGAACAATCCGGCTTGGTACGTCCCGGACCTAGATGTGAGAAGCAACAGCTCACTCCGCATCGAACACCTTCCTATTATCTTTGCACCGGTGTTGAATCATAAGGTTGGTGAGGCAGCAGTGGCCGAGCGGAGTGGTGTGACTACAGTTGCAAGCACATGCTTGTGTGGGACGGAAAGAGCAGGTTTTGGAAATTCTTGTGCGGTGCAGCTGCCAGTCACCTTACGCAGTGGAAGCAGCATGTGCCTCTTTCAGCATGGCTTGCAGAGAGAGCTTCGTGTCGATGATGGCCCAGGAAGTATTTCAGTACATGGACCACATGGATCCGACCTCGCCGAGTGGCTCGCCCATGCAGAGGTCAGTGGGAGACCCGCAGTCCTGCAGCTGTCCGCTCCGTCAACAGGCCAAGTGTCGTATTGGCATTTCTCAAAAGTTAAGGAGCCAAAGTTAGGCGGCTCAGCAGACGCTGTCCATCATGGTAGGCTGACCACTATTCTGGAGACGTCTATACCCACAGAGATGCTCCTCACTCAAGTTGCGCTGCTGGCAACAGAGGACATGACCTACGCAGAAGGCCTGGCCGTGCCTTTGAAGCTTACTTCGCACGCTCCCCCCATACATTTGAGCATCAACAGCACCGAGGGCCTTCTACTTCCTGAGCGCAGCGGCGCACATGAGCGAGCCGACTTCGCCGCTTGTGGCCTGCGCGACCCTGCACAGGTGACTGGTACCTTGGTAGCCCAGTGGTGCCCTTTACCCTTTTTTGGTTCAAGGTTCCCTTATTACTGCGACCAACCCCAAAAAGGATTCCTTGTTCTGATATGCTTACTGGGCTAGCAAGGTACCATCTCAGATACTCGCTTCGTGGTTGAAGTCGAAGTTGTCAACGAAAGCAGCGGGTGCGGAAACCTTGGCACGGACAAGCGAAAGTTGTTCAGGGCTGCTCGCGAGCCAGATTCATCATGCAGCCCCTATTGTTCTTTGTACCGCCCACGGGCGGACAAGTATGACGCTTCTGTGACGTTCTCAGTTCCCGTCTGCCTCGAGAAAGCAGTTCTACTGGACGACGTGGATTTATTCCGCAAGATCTTGAGGGGACTTGCCAGCAACAAGTCTCGCAATGACGTCTTGCAAGATTGTGGTACTTTGCAGAAGGCCATGCAGCTGAATCGGTCCCGCATCGTGTCGGAGATTAGGGCTTCTCTGAGCTAAACGCAGACATAGGTGATATGAAGGCTGACCGAATCTGCTCGGAGGATGGAAAAAAGCACCGCCAATTAGCTTGAAAGTTTCAACAGTTTCAAGATGAATGCAACTTAGCATGTTCCACACCGCAGCCTGGCGCGTGCACAAGTCGTTGAAGACCGTGGCTCTTTACTTTGAAGCCATAAGGTAGCCTGATGCCCCTAAACCAATCTAAGACCCCTGGGGCCAGGATCCGGCAGTCGTGCCTGAAACGGATGGCCAGCTTCGTCGCACACTTGAGAAGGCTTTGATGTAGCCTGTTGAAGAAAAAGAGGTCCGGCTTCAAGCTCTATGCAAGTTTAGAGTTTAGGGCCTTCAGTTTAGGGTTTAGTTCTTACATTAAGAGGTGAGACCATAACCAGTATACCGAAGAGCACTTGAAGTGACAAGGCCCTGAAGCCAAGTCCCCAGGGCCATAAAGCTTTACGCCCCTTCGAACCAACCCCAAATACCCTAAACCCCAAACCCCAAACCCTAGACCCTAAACCCTAAACCCTAAACCTAAACCTCAAGCCTTAAATCCAAGAAGCCGTCGATGGGGTTTCTGACAAGAGGTCCTTTCCACGCTGATGTTCTTGCCTGAGCCGACATGTCGTTGTGAGCCGGTGCCCTACCTTTAGAGTTTAGGGTTTAGGGCCCTACCCTGAGTAGTCTCAAGCCCTAAACCCTCTCACCATGCCCCACCACCCGAAACCTTAAACGCCTTAAACCCGAAACTCTAAGCCCTGATCCCCAAGAGCCTAAGCATCGCCGATCACTCTTCGGCTCCATCTGCCTCAACACTGGGAAGCTCCACTCCACTCCGCAGCCCCCTAAGCCAAGCACCCGTTACCTCAGCGTTGGGTTTGTAGCTTGCCGAGGTTTTACCTGTGAAGTTGTCTATTCTAACCAAAACCCATAGCTCAGATCCCTACACCCCAAAAGCCCAAAGCCACGAAGCATCTCCAAGCATCATGCCAAGCAGCCCTAAACCCTAAACCCTAAACCCGAAACCCTAAACCCTAAACCCTAAACCCTAAACCCTAAACCCTAAACCCTAAACCCTAAAACCCTAAAACCCTAAAACCCTAAAACCCTAAAACCCCTAAACCCTAAACCCTAAACCCTAAACCCCAAAACCCTAAACCCTATATAAACCCTAGGGACCTTTGGAATGCCATGGGCCTTTGTGTCGGGTGCCAATGCCGCATCTTGACGATTGCCCTTGCCACGCTTCACGCGGCTCCTGGGCGCAACCCGAAACCCTAAGCCCTAAGCCCTAAACCCAAAACCCAAAACCCAAAACCCAAAACCCTAAACCCTAAACCCTAAACCCTAGCCCTAAACCCTAAACCCTAAATCCCCCACCTCAGCCAGGCCAAAGCAGGGCCCAACATGTTTGGGGTTTAGGTTTAGCATCTACGGTACGAAACCTAACCCCTCCCCCGCTTCTCCCCCGCGCCTTGTCTATCACCCCCAGAAACCCTAAACCCTAGCCCTAAACCCTAAACCCTAAATGGCTTGTTTGAGCATGTTTCTTGGGCATTATTATCGGGTTAAAGTGGGCATCCTAGACCCCTAAACTCCTAAATCCTGAGCTCCTCAACTCCTCGACTCTAGGCCTCTATATACACCCTAAACCCTAAACCCTAAACCCTAAACCCTAAACCCTAAACCCTAAACCCTAAACCCTAAACCCTAAACCCTAAACCCTAAACCCTAAACCCTAAACCCTAAACCCTAAACCCTAAACCCTAAACCCTAAACCCTAAACTTCGGTGGGTGGGGCATGGCAGTGTGGGATTCCATGACTGAGGACCCTGCGGTGGCGCGAAAGTTCGCCGGACGAGCCTCGCTAGGCGTACGGGACAAGGGGGGTGGTGTAGGGTTTAGGGTTTAGGGTTTGGGGTTTAGGGTGTAGGGTTTAGGGTTTAGGGTGTAGGGTTGAGGGTTGAGGGTTGAGGGTTGAGGGTTGAGGGTTGAGGGTTGAGGGTTGAGGGTTGAGGGTTTGGTCTAAGGGTAGTTACATGGGCCGCTACTATGTTCCCTTACCTCCTTTAACGGGTTCTGGAGTATGGGCCCTTAATTTGTGCAGGGCCAAAAGGTGTTTATAAAAAATGCGTAGATATAAAAAACAAATAAGTATATATATATATATGTATATATATGGTCACCCCCGCCCCCCCCCCCCCAAGATCTACACCCTCCTTGTCTACACTACTCTTCTGCTTGCTTCCACGCACTTGTGAACAAGTAGTGCACGCCGAGAACACTGTAAATACCGATAAAATCGTACTTGTCGAGAGTATCCGGGACCATTTTACGTAACACATCATGCATGCAAAATGTCTATAAATCTGCAACCGAATTTCGGTTTAAAATCATGTGACCTTCTATACTCCGAAAGCCAAAAAGCCTGGAAGGTATAGCAGTTTTGCTGTTAACACCTCAAAAAACTCGTGTTTTTTTTGTGTTTTTTACTGTTGTCTTAGTAAACGTGCTGAACTGCACGTGTCAACACCGGGTCTGACGGGGCTTCTTTCAAGATTCCCAGGAAAGGGTCTCTTTCCCAGGAAAGGGTCTCTTTCTCTCATACAACAATAACAGCCAATAGTAGGGTAATTCCTACCACTAACCATAACAACATTATCATGCCGACTGTTACAGTAATCATTGATTCCGTAGTAAAATATGTCCGCTGCGTTTCGGGGGTTCTGCAAACTCCAAGTCTTGCTTATCGGGCGGCTTGCGGCATGTGTCCCAATAGCTGTCCTTCATTGCTCACTCCAAGCAAGCTGAAAAGAGGAATTCATACTAAATCGACAAAACCAGTATGTACTTAGTATTGAATTTCTTTGCAATGAGTATTGCATTGGTGTGCTTTTAAAATGTACCAGGTGTTTCAATAGTATTTAATTTGCCTATTTGAATCAACATTTTGCTTGGAAAAAAGCGTTGCTTAGGAAAATTGCATTATTTGTGCCGAAACACCTGAAAACCAAAAGTCCAAACTTCGGCAGAGATTCTCCCCAGGCTTTTGGATTTGGAATTTCCGAGTACTATGATCTTCACGAGGCAAATAGGCTTCTAAGAAAGAATATGTATTCTTGAGCGTGTCTATGCGAATGCGCTTGAGACAGAATATCATCTGTACAAGTGGTGTTTAACTAGTGCCCGAGCAGTGCTTCATCAGTTAGATCCTCCACTTCTGGGGGGGGGGGGGGGGGCTTATGTTCGTGAAACCGGGATCTCTTCTTCATCACTGTGTGATGAAAACTGCTTGTTTTAAAGTCAAATCTAGTACACATAATCGCTGTGCTAAAGTCGTGTTTCTTCAAGATCTCTACGAGAATTATGCATTTGTAAGCTTGTCTATGCTGTTTAAGAGTTCGTAATTCAGAGGTTTTTTGCCGCACTATGTGCTTAGAAGAGTATTTCCCTGGGCTTGGGACAAGCACTGCTTCTCTAGAAACAGAACGAATTGCTTTTCAACAAAGCATCTTGTCTCTAAAATTGCAGTATTTGTCTAGATTGCCGAGCGCAATCGCTACATTTTGCAATGGATATTCTATGAGTGAACAAAAACTAGGATAGTTCACTCGGCCCTTCGCGTAGAGTATTAGTTCAATATTTGCCTAGTACAGGCACTATGCATCTGAAGAAGCACAGTATTTCCCTAGGTTTTGGGCACGCACTATTTCTCTACAAGAGAAACACAAAATCAGACAAACCAAAAACCCAGAAACCAAAATAACCAAAACCAAAAAAACCAAAAGAACCAAAATGACCACTTTTCTGAGACTCTTGGAAACCACAAAAAAACCCAAATACCAAAAACCCCCAAACCAAAAAACCAAAGCCAAAAAACCCAAAAAACCATTATTCCGAGACTCTTGGACAAAGGGAATCAATACCCCGTGTCGTCAAGAGTTCGAAAATACTTTTTTTTTGTTTTGCTTTTTGTTTTTTGGTTTGTTTTTTTTGGTTTGGGTTGTTTTGGTTTCACCTGTCCAAGAGTCTCAGAATAATGTATTTTCGGTTTTGTCATTTTTTTGGTTTGGGCTTTTTGGCATCCTGATTTTGGCGTTTTTGACCTTTTTTGGGTTCTGGAAACCTGTAAGCGTAGATCTTGGGGGGGGTGGTGAGCTATATATATATATACACATATTTTTTTGGGGTTTAGGGCTCAAGGTTCAAGGTGTAGCTTTTAGTGTTATTATTATTTTTGTTTGTGTTTTTTTTCAGGGCTGCGGGTTCAGGAGTTTAATCGGGAGTTTAGTGCCCCATTTTCTGTGCCCTAGACCCTAGACCCTAAACCCTGAACCCCAAACCCTAAAGCCTAAACCCCAAACCCCAAACCCCAAACCCTAAACCCTCAATCCAGACTACGTACAAAGGCCTGAAACTCCTGCAAGGACCCGGGCAGGCGAAGGTGGTTGCCAAGTTCTGTTTCGTCGCGCCCTCAGCCTTCCCAAGAGCGAGGCTTCGTGTTTGGGATTTAGGGTTTAGGGTTTAGTGTTTAGGGTTGTAGGGTTTAGGGTTTAGGGTTTAGGGTTTAGGATATTAAGTTTTGGGGTTTAGGGTTTAGGCTGTTAGAGTTTGAGGTTTGGGGTATAAAGCTTAAGGTTTAGGATCTGAGGTTGGGTTTAGGGAGCAGACGTGTCGACTCGGAACACAGTCCAACCGGTCCAGAGCGGAACCAGGCGTTTCCGGGAACCTAAACCCTCTAAAAACCCAAACCCTAAACCCTATTCCCTAAACCCTGAACCCTAAACCCTGAACCCTAAACCCTATTCCCTCGACCCTAAACCCTGAACCCTAAACCCTAAACCCTAAACCCTAAACCCTAAACCCTAAACCCTAAACTGGTGCTCGAGGCTCGGAAGGCCTAGCGCGCTTGAACCCAAACTGAAGCCTAAACCCCCAAACCTCGCAAACCCCGAAACAAGGTAATCCCTCAACACAACCCTGAATATCGTACTTCCTAG